CTCTAAATTTTCGTTTTTTTTCTCTTCAATTGCATAAATTTTGACACCTAATGCAAGAATCTTTTTATTCACTTCAGCTACTTCTGTTTCGATTGTAAACCTTGGTTCTCAATAATTATACGTTACTTGTCTTAATTAGTTCACACTCTAATCTAATTCGTCAATATTTCATTACCCCCTTCTCACTTACCATACTCTTCTGTTTCTGTCTTGATTTTCTTTCCAGCATTTTTTTTTGTAATCTAAAGTCTGCTGCTTAACTATTTGAATTTTATCGATGAAATCATTGATAGATAACATCCAAAATCGTTCTCAAAAATCTTCTCATAGTTTGACTTACATTTATCTTGTCTCGTTTTCACTTATCGTTTCATTATATCTGCTGAATTAATCCTTTCTTCCAATCTGTGAAACAATGTTGCTTTCGACAATTATCTTGTGTTCCATACTAATTACAGCACCTTTAAAGTCATGTAGAATTTTACAAAATACCAGCTAATTTAAAATGACCTTTAATACTAATAAGAAAATGAATGACAACGTGTTTCTTGAGGCGTTTTGTTGACCAATCTTTCAAATATCATCGCACGGAAGAATGTTTAATTCTACATAAACCTACTTGGTTAAAACAATATGTTAGACATTTTATTTTTCTACAGTTATAAACTGTAAATTTTTTTAACATTAGTGACGTCTTAAATAAATTGTAAATGAAGGGAATAACTTGATTTGACTAAAATTAATGTCATAAAACATGACAAATGTACATTTAATGAGCGAGTAATCAACCCAGTTGCAAATATCACGTTTATGCTGCGGCACTGTCAATTATTTCTGAAGCATTATCAAAGCATCAGTTTGCTTGAACAAAAGGAATTCTCAGATGAAAAGGATTAAGTTTAATTCAGATACGCATTCTCTTGGGAATGACATTATATGAAAAAAAACTCTTTGTGCGAGAGGCAAACTTAGTTAAAAAAATAACCAGAAAGCTAGGAGACCTTGCTGAATTTATTTTTTATTCTTATTTATTGTTCAGTCACCTGCAAAATTTCGACCACAAAACTAAAATCACAATTCTGGAAAAGTAGATTTGAAAATGTTATTGTAGAGAAGTAAGAAATTCATTTCAGAACATCATAATGAAACAATGAAACCTGTATGTCTGTCTGTATGTCTGTCTGTCTGTCTGTCTGTCTGTCTGTCTGTCTTCATGTATGTATGTATGTATGTATGTATGTATGTATGTATGTATGTATGTATGTATGTATGTATGTATGTATGTATGTATGTATGTATGTATGTATGTATGTCTGTCTTCATGTATGTATGTATGTATGTATGTATGTATGTATGTATGTATGTATGTATGTATGTATGTATGTATGTATGTATGTATGTATGTATGTATGTATGTATGTATGTATGTATGTATGTATGTATGTATGTACGTACGTACGTACGTACGTACGTACGTACGTACGTACGTATGTATGTATGTATGTATGTATGTATGTATGTATGTATGTATGTATGTATGTATGTATGTATATGGGAAAGACCGGAAGCATCAGGTGATGCTGCCATGCCGGCAATCTGAGTTCGATGTGTCACTCCTTTCGATGACGAAATTTTTGTATGGCTGTAACAGAACAGCTAATTGAAATTCGAATAATTTGATAGCTTTTTTCTGGTAGAAAGTGAACCATCCTCATGTCATGTTGGATTTTAATGTTTTTTTGGTAATTGATTAAGTATGGCATTTTACAAGCTGGAGCTCATGTTACTTTTTCTAGATCTATATTTCGCTGACATCTCTATTATTCCATCCACTAATTTCATATTTTATTTTACTGTTTACTCGATCCACGCAATAACGCAGTGGTGGATCATCTTCTAGACAAATATCACTAAAAAAATCATAATAGAGTGGGGAGCTCTCACATTATCCACCACCCCAGGAATATATATATATATATATATATATATATATATATATATATATATATATATATATATATATATATATATATATATATATATATATATATATATATATATATATATATATATATATATATATATGTATGTGTGTGTCTATCTATCTATCTATCTATCTATCTATCTATCTATCTATCTATCTATCTATCTATCTATCTATCTCTCTCTCTCTCTCTCTCTCTCTCTCTCTCTCTCTCTCTCTCTCTCTATATATATATATATATATATATATATATATATATATATATATATATATATATATATATATATATATATTATATTTATGTGTGTATGTGTGTTTATCTAGGCTCTTATAAAAAGTAACAAGAGAAAAGTGAAGACAAAAAAGCTTTGTAAAATTTAACAAATAATTTATTTCCCTGTAAAATGGAGAAAAAGATCTTAGAGTTTTACAAATCAAATCCAAAAATAATCCAAGAATTAAAACTAGTAGTACTAGTATTAAAAAGTTCTAAATGAATCTGATTTCGAGTCTCGGTGAAATTCAAAATCGATGGTGATGACGTATGTAATAGTCAGTATTGCACTGATGGTCAACAGTTCCTTGTTGTATTACAGAAAATAAATTTCGAATTTTGAATTCCGAATAAATTTCAGTTGATGCCTTTGTTCAGGAATTCTGTATGTGCACTTGTTTATTTCTTCAGGGAAAGAATCAATAATTCCTTAAATTAGAATTTCAACTCAAACTAGTAAAAATAAAACACCTTTTAAGTGTCAAAGGTTTAAAGCCCAACTATGTAATTCTTATTAATAAGACAGCTATAAGCAAGGTTAAGACGCAAAACAGATTCTCGTATGAGGGTCACGTGGTCATCCTTTGAAAACTGCCTAGAAACATTTTACATGCCTAAAATCATGTATTCCCACAACGGCCTTAATTAATATCAATGGTTCTTACTCTGGGAATCGGCTAATGTGGATGTGTGAGAAAGCTTGCCAGTAGCTTCTCGTGGATCGGTGGTTCTTTCCGCGGATTTTCCGGTTTCTTCCTCCACCATTAATTATGGCCGCCATGTATAGTCTAATGTGTGCTGAAAAATGGCGTTAAGCCCCAAAACAACACAACTACTCTTGTTTACTAGAAACATTATTAGTTATGAATCAAGGTCAACAACTTGGCATAGTGTTTCTACTACTGGCTGTTTATCAGTAAAATAAAAAAAAATCAGGTCAACCAGAACTTTACTGAATTTTCTGGAAAATTGTCAAATCCAGTAAATAAAGTTGTCATTACAATAACATGTGATGGAACAAAAAAAAACTGCAGGCCAATAGATCTATGATGAATTTTCAATCATTGATCATTAATGACGTATGAAAATAACGATCAAATCATCCTCGTTTTCTAAATGAATTTAACATGGTGAACAATATTTCTTTTCTTTCTTTTTTTCCGTTTCCCTCTCCACTATCATGCATAATCGGCAAAATATGGAGAAATACGGAGTGAGAGAGAAAAACAATTTGGGATGGATGAAAACCTTAAAACATGAACCAATCAACCTACCAGAATATGGTTCGTCGTAACGTCATGTTTACACTTTCCTATCTACAGTTTTGATAATATCAACGACACATAGTTGCAATAGCCTGTCGATACTATAAGTTAAATTTGTCGGTTACGAGACATACATACTGTAACTCATTCAGTGCGTTATTATTGTTGTTGCAGTAGTTTTTTTAAAACCTTTTATAATGTTCTTAAAATCTATTATTATTAATTAAATATGAAAATGTCCAATCGACTCTCTCTCTCTCTCTCTCTCTCTCTCTCTCTCTCTCTCTCTCTCTCTCTCTCTCTCTCTCTCTCTATTACTATATACTAACATGTTTTAATTACCTCTTGTTTGCTGGTCATTTCGCTTAGTTTCCATTCTACGCTAATTTTTATTAGTCAATACGTGAATTGTTGGGAGATTAGAATTAGAAGAAGCTAATGTGTTCATAGAGCTCTACTTTTTCATAAAAACAATCTCTGATGCTTAAATCATTACTGTCTTTTATTGATTTAATCAATTTGGATCAAAATAGAAAGTTGAAAAGAAAGCAATCAACCTATTAATTTTCAAATGTGATTATGAAGAACAGGAAAAGGCAAAGAACTACATTTTGTAGCGGACACACTCGCAGGGATGTGAGGAGTTCATTCACTCGGTCAATACACTGTTGCCTTTAACATATCTTAACTTCGTTAAAGAGAAAAAAATGTATAGTTGTATGTGATATAAATAAAAGATGCATATGGCATATACGCTGTATCAATGATATACCACTTGTATAATTTTTCATTAAAAGAAACTCGGCAAGCATAGGTTTCCTTTTAATCAATCAATTGGTGTTCATGACCCAAAAACCCAGATATTGAAATATTAGATGGCATACATAACAAAAACACGTTGACTTTGTACCATTTTTTTATTAATTCATAAATATATTTTAATAATATTTGCATATTGACAACTGTGATGAGTAAATTGTGATGCAATACATATACTTTAATTCCTATCCCAAAACTGTTTCGCGGTTTTATTGTCTCTGAAGCAGTAAAACATCATCTATACTGTGATCTGTTAATCTATGATTCCAGAAGACCTCGTAGCAATGCATCTGTTTTGCAAACGGACTTCATATAGTAGAAATGTGAACGTACTATCGGTAGATAAAGTCAAATGTTATGATAAATTCTCTGCTATAATAAAAAAAAATTCTTAGATTTTTTCCAAATGTAAATTTGAAATTACGTAGCATATATTTAAACTAACTTATCTTTGCATGCAGATGTAATGTAATGTTTGTTATTTTACACATTAGCCCCAAGATAATAATTTCATATAAATCCTAAATAACAAACACTGGACCGAAATATTCCGAATACATATGATATATGCTTACACACGAAATAGAGATTTTTCATAAAGTGTCATTCAAGAATACCATTACGTACTCAAGATATTCCAATGCACTGTGTCCAATAAGGCCGCCTAGTTGGTTAGAGCGTCCGCCTCGGGTGCGGAAAGTCGCGGGTTGGAACGCCGGCATAGTCTTACCAAAGACAAATAAAAATGGTACTAGCAGCTGCCTCGCTTTGCGCATAGCAGCATTGAAAGGTTAGTGTTAGCAATGGTCGGACCAGTGTCAGGATAATGTGACTGGGTGAGTCATCATGCCTTGTGTCTACGGCATGATGTCCAAGTTTTCGACATCACTATAAACTGCCACACTGCAGACATCGTAGCGATATGGATGAAAATTTTGTAAAACTACGTTAAAAATCAAAAATCACACACACATACACACAAACACACAAACACTTATTTTAATTGAGCTAAATATACCGTATTTACTCGTATATAAGTGCGATCCAACTACAGACAACATAGACTTAGATCTGCCGTCGCATAATGCACATGCATACCAGGGTATATGCTGTTTACTTTCCTGACGGCTTCTAAAAATTGCTTAGACCCATATCTTTCTAGCATAGACTGTTAGTTTACCGCATATTGTACAATTTGGAATATTTATAAGCTTTGGTCCCGGCATGCACTATGACATCATGCTAATTATCTTACGGAAGTATCAGTTCTCTCTCTCTCTCTCTCTCTCTCTCTCTCTCTCTCTCTCTCTCTCTCTCTCTCTCTCTCTCTCTCTCTCTCTCACATACACACATACACACACACTCACTCGTTTGCTGTTATTTTTCATTTTAATCACAGAATCAGCACCTTTCCAGTTAAAGACGAGGTGTCATCGTCTTTCCAGATAACATGAAAACCGTGATTATAGATCATTTTTGAACTGATTAATCATTTTTTAAAAAAATTTCTTTAGGAAATGGAACTTTATATATATATATATATATATATATATATATATATATATATATATATATATATATATATATATATATATATATATATATATATATATATAAAGAATACAAATCATATGGCGAATAGCAACCCTTTCAAGCGTACTGGATCCACCAAGGGATCGCGTGTGTCAGGGATTGATTAAAATAGATGCAATAAACTGACGACAAACAGTACGAAAGTAGTGACTAACTAGCCTAAGCGCTTTCGACTCTTAATGAGTCTTTTTCAAAGGCAAATACAAAACATATATACGACAAACAAATAAACAAAAAAAACGTTGTGTTTGTATGTCACGGAATTGTATAAATGTTTTTTTTTTTTATTAAGTAAACGTACTCGGGTTTTGCTTTTAGTGTACAACGATACCCGAGGGTGATCAATGTATATTATACATTTCGAAAAATAGTGAATTCGGTTCTTCCTTGCTCGACACGTGCGAAGTGCTTCGGGCTGGAAAAACCCGAATACATGGATTACACGGACGATGTTGAGCTACATTGCCTGTGTATATATGATTCAAACTGTAACGAAAATATTACATTACTGACCGTTCTGTCAATCGGACATCTGTCTACTGAGACCCAAACCTCCAGCTATAGAGGTACGTAAATTTATTCGTTAATATGGCTTGAAAGTTGTCTATTGTATTATCATTTTTAATTTCGCAGTTATGTCGCTTCGACAAGTTTAGTAAATACCGCTTAGTAAATGATGTTTTATTCGTATGTGTGATTTGGCAAGAATTCTACGAAATTCCGTTTAATGCAGCACGAATCCTATAACCCGCCAACTTAACATGTTTATTGTAATTTTTAAAGGCAAGACTGAGAATGTATATGACTTACCGTATATACCGTCGTTGTGTACTACCGTATATACTAGTGTCATGTGTAGTACACGATATCGGATATATTTTCAGCTGTCTGTCGGTGTTTGTGTTGGTGCAGTGTGCAGCCGTTTGTGCCGGGTGCAGCAGTTTGTGCCGTGTGCAGCTGTCTGTACTGTGAGGGCGTATGCTGTTTTGTGCTGCTGTGACGTGTCGTACAGCAGTGTAGAGCTACGTGTGCAGTGCTGAGGGGTGCTGTGCTTGTGTATTCGAGTGCTTCGAATATTTCAACGTTGCTATTCGGGTTGAGGTTGATCAAGCGTGGCGGACCAACGTGGTGGACGCTGATAGTCTAACCCAGGAATCAATGGTGGTCGGTGACTACAAATCTTTGCTTGGAATCAGGGAGTGTCTACATTGCTCCAGATACATAATATTTTAGCCGTGGGCTAATGCAGGTTTTTTTTGTGTAATATCCAGTGTTTTTGCTATCGTGAGTAAAAACTATCACTTCGCTAGCGAAATCTCATTTGTTTGTAGAACTATCAAGTCGTTATTATGAACCAACCATTTTTCGTTTTACTAGTATGAGTAAAACTTGCAATTCGTTATTTATCATACTTTAGCCATTATATCAATTCGTCATTTTGAACATATTATTCGTATTTTACGATCATATTTCTGTTTGTGATATACCGTGGATCCGTTTTTTTTCTTCATTTGTCTCGGTAACATATTTGTTGCATGTAAAGATCGTGCTTATGTTAATTAGTCTCGTATTGGGACCCAGTGCAAACACGTGTCTATATTTCGTTTCATACCACCATATATAACATTAAACATTGTATTCAATAGCATTCCCATCAATGGTGTTTTGTTCTTAATCCGAAAATCCCAAACTCGGTTATTTTGTTACATTGTAAACCTCTACATGGCTGTCTCCACATGTGTTAAAACTATAAATACAACCAGCTTGTATAGACTAGTTGCGGAAACTGAAAACGGTGTATAATTCCCTAAAAGTCTACAGGCCAAAGCTTCTGTACAGCTTTTTTTGTCATCCAATCAGATCGATGAAGGTTTATCCTTTTGTGTAGCTTTTCAGTTTCTCCGACGTACTGAAAGCCACAGATCTTACATGTGATGAGAAAAATCACATTCTGTTTTGCACGTTTTGTTTGGACCATGTATGTTTAGTTTTTCTTTAGTCACTGTGCTAGTGAATGTCTTGTTCTCTTGATCTATCATATGTTGACAGGTTTTGCATATTTTATCGCCACAGGGTCCAGATTGACTAGGTTGGTTTTGACTAGCGATTGGCGTAGCTATGCCCTGACTAGGATGTCCTTTAGGTTTTTTGTCTCCAGTAAGCTACTAAAGGTTTGTTCGGAAGTATTAGGTTTAGTATGTCTGACGATTGCACGGTTGGCCAGTGGTTTGCCTGGCTATTTGAAATGTTCCTAATGCAGTGTTTTGGATGACAGCTGGTTGGGAGGAGATACTGGTGTTTGTCGGTTGGTTTCGAGTAGATGTCTGCAAACAACTTCCATTCTTAAATAAAATTCACGGCAGAAATTTCCTAACTCAAACCATCTTTTCCTGGACACAACGACCAGACCGGTGGAAAACAAATTACACAGACATCTAATGCACTGAAGGATAATAAGATCTAGAAAATGTTAAATTCTACTAGTGCATAGTTTTCATTTACTCAATGCATTAGGAACATTCCATATAGCCAGGCACTGAGGATACGCAGAATTTGCTCCGACGATGAAACTTTCCTAGAAAGGTCTGAAGAGCTGGCTAAACATTTAATTTACAGAGGCTACGACAAAGACCTGATTGCGGAGGCAATCCAAAGGGCCAAACAAACCGTGATGACCTATTTAGATATGGACAGAAAGAAAAGGTTGATAGGATACCATTTATTCTGTCCTTATCACCCGGACAATCCCAAAGTAGGTAAAATCATCGCAAACCACTGGCCAACCGTGCAATCGTCAGACATATTAAACCTAAACTTCCGAACAAACCTGTAGTAGCTTACCGGAGACCAAAAAACCTAAAGGACATCCTAGTCAGGGCAAAGCTAACGCCAATCGCTGTCAAAACCAACCTAGTCAATTTGGACTCTGTGGCGATAAAAGATACCTGTCAACATATGATAGAGAAAAGAAAAGAAAAAGGTAAGATCTGTGGCCTTCAGTACGTACTGAAAACTGAAAAGCTACACAAAAGGATAAACCTTCATAGATCTGATTGGATGACAAAAAAGCTGTACAGAAGCCCGGTCGCAGAACACTTCTCCTCCCCTGGCCACACTTTCAGTGATATAATATCGCTATTGCTAACAACCACAGCTGGAGTTACGAAACCAGGAAGGAAAAGGAATCGTACTAGATAACGCCGCCTTAGAACATTGAAACCAAGCGGTCTAAACCAAGACTAGAAAATGAAAACTATGCACTAGTAGAATTTTAACATTTTCTAGATCTTATCCTTCAATTTTTACTATAAGAATAACCAGTATAGAATCAAATATCCGGGATATAATGTACAAAAAGTAAAAACAGATCTCGCTTTGGCCTGTAGACTTTTAGGGAATTGTACACCGTTTTCAGTTTCCGCAACTTGTCTATACAAGCTGGTTGTATTTTTTTAACATACGTGGAGGACAACCATGTAGAGGTTTACAAACACGTTTATTTGTTTGTCGTATATATGTTTTGTATTTGCCTTTGAAAAAGACTCTCATTAAGAGTCGAAAGCGCTTAGGCTAGTTAGTTACTGTTTCATACTGTTAGTCGCCAGTTTATTGTATATATATATATATATAAACACTACATGCCGACAAAATGTAATTAAGTGATTTTCTGGAATTACTGCCACACCTTGATTAAGCTGAGCTACGTGATGTTTCTGAAATGAAGACATCACAAGGATTACGGTCGGCAATCCTCCTAAACAGAAGCATGAATGCTTAGGAACAGTGCCCTTGTGAAATCAGTATGGTCGCCATTTTCGGTATCTTCAAACAGTTAATATCGCTGGTTTCCCCAAACAGTGCATAAAATTTTCAAACTTGATACGCATTCTTTTTCTGATGCCATAAATAAACGATATCTCTAGATAAATGTCTGTTATGTGGCTCCAATCTCGATTATATTGTCGGGGATTTTAGACGCAGACAATAAGTGTCAATAATTCCCTCTTGAAAATGTTACATTTAACATCTTTGTTACCACAATCGCTGTATCCAAAACATTTACGTCCTGAGGTGATTGTCATGTCCGAAACTTGATACATTTGTATCCCAATGACTATTTTTTTTTAAAAAAAA